CCCAATAGCCCTAAACCCTAAGCCCTAAAGCCTAAACCCTAAAACCCTAAACTCTGGGCACTAAAACCCTACACCCTATAAACCCCCACCAAGCCGCTGTAGAGTGTGAAGACTTCGTCTCCGGCTTCGGTAAAGTAGGAGTGGCCCTTCGTCTTGTAGGCGACATTGTGCCTCAGCTAGGGCAGCTAGGGTTTAGGGTTTAGGGCTTAGGGCTTTGGGCTCAGGGTTTAGGGCTTTAGGGAGGGTTTAGGGTTTAGGGCTTTGGGTCTGGGACATTTTCAGGTGGGCAGTTACCGTTATAGGAGCCTTATAGAAGGTCTATATACCTTATAGAAGCCTTACAGAAGCCCTATATGTACCCTAAACTCCCCACATGTAGTTTCCTTTAATTTAGGGTTTAGGGTTTAGGGGTTTAATTAACAAGTTCATGGGCAGCCACAAGTGCAGCGGTGAGTGATCAATATCATGGGCCTACTTATATGACTAGCCATGAACCTCCAAGTAGGATTCTCTTGGTAGTGGCTTATGCAAGTTTCGGGTTAAAGGATCAGTGCTTCGATAAGGTTTTGGTAAGTTGATATGTGCTAAGGAAAGCTTTGTAGTGTCTCGGAATAAGGGTGCTGGAAGTACTGTTCACGACATAAATCCTGCATGCATTACCTTAAGGACCCTACACTATGGGAATTGTGGTTTAACCCTAAACCCTAAGCCCTAAGAAATGCAGGATTTATATCACGAACCCTGGAAATTGGGGCAAAGCGCAAAGCGGTGGGGGTTTTGAGCTCAGCCATCTCAGGCGCTCCATCGGGGAAGGGTGCAGAGTTGAACCTCCAAGCTGATGTAGGGGCCTATATAATTACCAATATTTTTTTGTTTTGTTGGGGGGGGTTCCTTATTTATAGTTATAGTATGACATACCCCCAAACCCTATTCTAATTATTAAGGCCCCCCACATCAAGGCTGGACTGAACTGCTCTGAACTGCTAAAGACTTACATCCGGACACGGGCCCCGTTCGGGCCTGCCGAGGGGATGATGGTGCAATGCTTAAAACGGCTCAGGGGGTCACGGTTTAGGGTTTAGGGTGTAGGGTTTAGGGGCCCGAAATGCCTTGCACAGGGTTCTGGGTGTCGCTGTGACCAGGAGCGGCTCCAGCGTTATCAGTTTACCTGATGGTGCAGACGAGTGAAACCCATACACGAAAGTCAAAGCTGAGTCTACAGCTCGAAACCCAAATGCCAAGACTACGCAAAGACCGCCATTCAAGACATACCTATATGCCTATACGTCCACGATATAACCAGGCCAAGCTTTCGGTGAATTGTTTGATGAACCCCACGACCTGGAAACGTGGGTATTGGAAGCCTGCGCATACTCGCAAGTAGGCGTATCGTACAGCACTTTGCAACCTACAGTGGGAATGCCTCTAAACCCTGAACCCTAAACCTTGGCATAATTCGAGGTTCATGGGTAGTTATAAGTAGGGTTATAAGTAGGGTAACTATAGTTATAACCTATATTCGGGGACTTATAACTTCACTTACAACTACCATGAACCTCCAAGTAGTCGGATTCTTGCCAAAGTGCTCCACCGTGGCGAAGTCTGAGGAATGCACCACTACTGCACGTTGGAAGGTGTGGTGGTAGGAGTTGTTTCGCAGGTAGGCAACATCCTTGGGTCGCAGAAACTCCCCGCCTTTGATGACATGACTCTACGAATCCAGAGGCTCCAAATAGACTGCCATTATGGAGTTAGGTCCCTAAAGCTATAATATGTATGGCCTTTTGGGACCTAATTCCATAATGGTAGTATATATGGAGCCTCTACGGAAGTCTTCTAAAGGACTGTCTCCGGATCGACTAGCTTCATTTCTTAAGCCTGGAGACCTCATCAACAAAGGCAACTTACAACCAAAGACAAAGCCCTAAGTCTAAACCTCAAAGCTTGAAGAAGTACCATAGATAAGCGTCTGCGACATCGATCGTCCGATGGGGCGACAGCACGTGCCAGTGCGAAGAGTAGCGTCCAAAGTTGGCGGCCTGGCCGCTCCGCGTGATCTCCTGTGTAGGACCCACCTTACCCTCCATGAAAGACTTGTTTGAAGTCGTCATGGTATGCAACTTACCGGGGCCCACCCTAGACCCTCAAGCCTGCAGAAAAGAAGGCTCCGGTTGGTTCAGCTAGAACTTGGGAGTTGGAATCTAGGGTTTGCGGCTTACGGGATGTAGTGCAATCTCGGATGAGCAAGATTCTGCCCTTGAACCTGCACCCTAATTCCCGAAAGGTCCTAAGTACCTATATGGGGGATGCTTGCCCAAACCATAATAGCAATTCTTATCATAGAAACCCTAATGGCTCTGTCTCACGCCTGCTTGATACTGTAGTAAGTAAAAGGAAAACTTAACCACCTGAACATCGGCAAACCCTACACCGGGTCTCCGTGTTCTCGATCCGCATGACACCACCAACGAAGGCTCCCACATGAACCTCAAGGGGGGCCAACAATTCACATCCGTAGCGTTCCGAGGATTTTCGATTCCCGCTGGATGTCGATTCCAATGGCAATCTATGCCTATATGCTTGATCTGCTTGATGGGATCATGTTACGCAGAGGTCGCAAAATGATGGACGCCTATAGGGAAGCCTAAAAATAGCATAGGATACTTTCTATATAAAGTCTGACGATAAAGGGATCCCCCCATCCGTAAAGGAGGCACGAAACCCTAAAGCCTAGCATGTAGGCCTTACGAAGTTTGCCTGTACGTGTCGCGTTTCCGGTCAAAGGTGCAAGGCTGTCAGGGCCGCAAGTTTACTTAAGGGATTCGCGGTTTAGGGTTTAGGGTTTTAGGGTTTAGGGTTCAGGGTTCAGGAGTTGCGTGGCTCCGCATCAGCTGTAAAGCGGTTCTACATGAGATCTGTAGAGTCGAATTAACAGAGGATTCAGGGCTTTTGTAAGGGGTTTAGGGTTCAGGGTTTGGGGCTCTGGCTTTCAATTGGAGCCCTGGACGGACAATGAATGCGCTTAGCAAGGATGTAAGTACCTCAGTTGGGGCTATAGGCAAAACATCACCCATACATCGCTGCCTTGCTTCTCCCCGTGCTTGATACATCCCGTCATCCTTTAGGTACACGCCTGACATGCAACGAAGGCACGCCAAACTGGTAGGCACTGCCAAGCTCGACGGAAGCATCATCGCCCTGCACCTTTCGCGATCTCAGAATCAAGAGATCTGGGGTTCGACGTTCCGGGAGCCACGACGGACGTTCAAGAAATCGAGGTCTGGGACTCCGAATCCTAAACCTGATAAACGTGAATCGAGGTCTATAGGACCATTTGTTGGAACCCTCAACGACATAGAAGTTTTCTCCTAAACCCTCAATCCTAAACCCGTAAACCCTAAACCCCAAAGCCCCCTAAACTAGATTCCCACGCCCTTAACCCCAAAGCCCCTAAACCCTAAACCCCTAAACCCAAAACCTGTAAACCCTAAAGCCCTAAAGCTAAACCCCTAAACTCGAAAACCTCTACTAACCCAGAAACCTGGGGCTCTCGACAGAGACTCAGAAAGGCAAAGGATCGGATGTCAGGCTCCTTCGGATTGCTGGACAGTAGCTGAGGCTAGGACGTTTAGGGTTCAGGGCTTGTGGGGTCTAGGGCTTAGGGTCTAGGGTCTAGGGTTTTCTAAGGCTGCGTTAGGGTTTAAAGGCAGAGGGTTTAGTTTAGGGTTTAGGCTTTGGTTTAGGTTTTAGGGGGTTCTGTAGGCCCTCTACAAGGGGAGATTAGGACTCGCAGGAAACTCACCACGAGGAGCCCAGTTCGCGAATATAAATTAACCCAAAGGTAAGGATCTCTCTACCCGTAGGCCCTAAAGTAGTTCCTTTTTGGGGTTCATAAAAAGAACCCTATAAGGTAACCCCAAAAAGGAACTACTGTGGGGCCTATGGGTATGTACATGGGATAGTGGTGTTCTTGTCCAGGCATTTGGGCTGCGGCGCGCAAGGCGAAATCCTCAAGTTACAGGCCTTAGCCTATTATATATATATATATATAT